GTCACATCAATTTTTTAACCTTCAGAATTATGAACTGACATTCATTCTTAAATTAAATAATGTTTATGGGTAAATGTATTAACCACATTGTTTTTTCATGTGAAACCTTCACAAGAGTGTATATCAATAATACCTTAATAATAAAAAAAAACAGTAAAAATCTAGGGAAAGCAGGAGGAAAAAAAGACCATAATATGCAAAAATAAATGCATATTGAGATGTAAAAAAATAAATAAATAATGTTTTTTGAACGATTAATTTAAAATATTTTTATGATGATTCATATCCTGGCATTTTGTTAGTCTCAGAAGTAGAAAAAATCATGACTATGTCACTTCTTTCTCATGGAGCTTATGGTTGACTAGAAAAAGTGGGCAAACAAAATAGCTAGACAACATCATATTCTTTACTATGCTTAGTGTGTTCAGTGTAAGTGAAGGATATTATTAATACAAAATGGGGAGGCATCAGAAATGTAAAAAAAACATTCTATCAGTAAAACACTTTGCAATGAGTTTTGAAGAATGGGTGGAAGTTTTAAAGGAAAAAAAAGAGGTGGAAGTTGTGTCTAGGAGCAGTCAGCACTTTGTTCAAAGACACCGATGTGTAAAATAGCACTAGGCAGATGGGCATGGTTGTCTCTGCATTAGGAGGCAGGGGACAGGGTGGGGCCAGTGAGCAGCTGGCAGGACTTGAGGCAAGAGAAGTAAAAATTTTGTGTGTTAACCATAAAGGTTTCATTTCTTTTTTGAAAGCTACTGGGAACCACAGAAGACTTAAAAAGAAGACTTTAAAAGAGATTACCTACATGATCAGATTTGACAAGATGAGACATCATCTAAAAAGTAAAGCAATAGCTGATAAAGTTTAATATCTTCTGGCAATATATGCATTTAACCAAAGACAATGTCCTTGATGACATAATCAAAGGCATGATTTTGTTGAACAGATTTTTATATTAAATCTGCAGAATTCAATGTATTAATCCTTTCACAATAATGTTTTTAACTAAGAAAGGAGATGTTTTGAACTAAGATTTACTTTGTAAATAGTTTTCTAATAAGACTTCAATATATCCAGTCAACTCTTCAATGGTTTGATAGTGTTTTTACACTGCAGATTGATCCCCAGGAGATCAAGTTGCCTTTCAGTTCCTGAAATAAGAAGAAGTGTTAGAGGCCACCCTTAGGAGTGAAGAGTATTGTGAAGCTGCCATCTAAGTTGATAAACTGTAGAATGAACACACAGAATAATATTTAAACTCCAGAAGTACACACTTTATTCTCATCATCTGAGCAACTCAAGACAGTTTTTTTTCTAAAATGTTTGAAAATGAACTTCACCAATGTTAATACATTGAATGGCCTGGACTTTCAAGTTTGTTTGCATTAATACTATTTATAGGCTTTCTCTGATAAACCTTGTAAACTACTGCCAACCTACTCTTCTCCAGACTTGTATGTGTATGTGTGATTACTGTGATCAGAATCTTTCAGTGACTTCACAGTGAAGTCTAATCTGAAAACCTGTCCTGGGATATGGAGCTTTCCATAATCTAGCTCTATTTTATGTTTGCAGTCCTTCATCCCACTATGAGTATCCTTAGAATTCTTTATGCAAGCTTTATCTGTGTATGGCTTTAATTAGAACCAAGGCCCAGAACCTGAATGAATATTAGAATTATCTGGGCAGACTTTCAAGTATATTGGTACTTGGGTTCCATCCTTAGACTTATGGGTTTAGGATGCAGAGTGGCATCAGTATTGTTTAATATCTCTGAGGGTGTGTCTATTACATAGTGCAGCTTGAAAGCCATTGAAATAGAAGAAGGGTTAGTGTAAGTGGGTAGCTGAGTTCTGTGCCCTCTTCCAAAGTTAGTCTTGATTGCATTCAAAGATAGGTAACTCAGAAGAGAAAATCAATTAATTTTATCAGAAACACCAATGCATTTTAGTTTTAAAAATACCTATAAAGTACTTAGTATGCTCCAGGAACTAAATCTTTACTTGGTTACAGAACAATAAGACTAAATAAGAAAGGGATTCTGTTCTTAAGGGACATATAGTGAATGCCATGGTCACCAACAATCTAGCATTCTTATAGATGGACAGTGAGTGTTATATTTCACTTTATATAAGTTTTTCTTTAATTAAAATTATCAAGCATCTAAGATAAAAATCTAATGAAAGTTGTAAAAATTATTTATGTGAAAGTATATAAAATATTAGTGCAAGTTCCATCCCTGGTATGACAGATAAAGTTGCCAGCAGAAAGACTCTCCCACACATGTAAATTTAAAATCAATGTAAAATTTAAAAACATTTTGTAAAGGATCTAGAGAATAAGCAATTGCAGGCATATATGGAAGGGAGTATATATGAAGGAACTACTACAGTTAAATTCCTTACCCTTATAACATGAGTCTGGGGATAGGCTGGAGTTGATTATGGTGTGGGACGGCTGAAATTCCAATAGAGAAAACATAACATCTTTTCAACATAGAGAAGACAGAGCCTAAGAAGCCACAGCTGCCAGAAAGCCAGGGGAATCCATAAAGAAAAAGAAGCCTAGGTTCTGTGTAAAACTTCTACCTAAGTCTCTTGCTCATTCCTAAACTACACCTTCATGGGACATTGTGAAGATAGCACAACTGGATATCAAAACAACTGAACTGACATCTAAGTCGCCATTCTCTGGTAAGGCACAGTTCAGTTTCAGACTAATTGATTTAGTTGTCTGCTAAAATAAAACCCAAAAGCATTATTTAGAAAAATGTAAGGGAGTCCAGAGACCATACAACATAACTTGTATTTTCCCCAGAAACCTCATGTCAATTTTTAGGATAGTAAAAGTGTTTATAAATATTATAAATATATTATAAACTTAAAGAAAGATAAATACCAATTATCAAAACTGAATAGCAAAGAGAAAAATATATTATAAAACATATAAATAAGAGAGAATCAGAAACATGTCAGAAAGTATCAAGGAATTCCAGAAAGTGAGTGGAAGAGAGAGACAGACAGACAGACAGAGACAGACAGAGAGATACAGGGAGAGAGAAAAACAAATCTTAAACAAAAAAATAAATAATGACTAAATTATTTTTATAAATTTCATGAAACACATGCATTTATTAGTTAATGGAGCTCAGCAAGCCCCATTAAGAATCAAGGGTAATGGAGCTCAGCAAGCCTCATTTCTTCATTAAGAAGACAAGTATGAAGAAAATCATGTCTCAGCACTGAAAAGGCAAACTACTCAAAAGCAAAAATAGAATGTTTTGAATGTAGCCAAAGAAGAATAAAGTACCCAAAATAGGGGACTATATTGCTAGAAACAATTGAGGCTAGAAAACAACAAGACAGCATCCTTTAAGTTATAAAAAAAAAAAATCATCAGAACAGATTTTATACTTGATGAATATATGCTTCAGGAGTAAAAGTAAAGATTTTAAAATAAACCTTTTATCAAATGAAGTTCATTGAGGCTCAAGGAAATTGATACTACAGAGAAAGATGTGTCTTTAAACAGAAATGTAGAATATTGAAAATGGTTTATAGATGAGTACATACAAAATACTATCTTTTCTGATAATTTATTAATACCAAAACTTGTTATCTTGATGGATTTGTATTATATGTAATTGCAATGTATGTGACAAGTACAGTTAAAAGGATAGCAGATAGGAATGATAAATGAGTCTATATGGCTGCAAATTTCCACATTTTCTGTCAAGTGGCACAATATCAACTTTAAACACACTGTAGTTAAAAATTGCAAGTTACAATACTCAGAATAAACAATAAAAAGTAAAGTAAGGAGACAGATATGAAAAGCAATAAATACATTGAAATGGAATTGAAAAATATGCAAATAATCCCAAAGAAGTCAAGAAAGAAAATATCTATAAAGAAGGGAAAATAAAAGGTTATAAAATTATATGCCTAATTCTAACTACATCAATAATTACATTAAATGTTAATGGACTAACTACTCCAATTAAAAGGTAGAGATGGTCACAATGAACAAAAATCAAAATATAAATGGATACTGTCTACAAGAATCTACTTTATATATAAAGACACAGATGGAGACAGGCTAAAGTAAATTGATGGAAAATATTTCATTAAATCAGTAATTATAAAAGCCCAGGGTAAATACATTAATATCAGGTAAGATTTTGAAACAAAATATCACTGGAAATAAACTGGAATTTCACAATGACAGAGTGAGTTAACTAGGGAGACATAACAGTCATAAATATGTATTTTGTCTCAAAGCCATAAAATACATGAAAAAAAATGAACAGAATTAAAGAGAGAAATGGATAATTACAAATCATGATATTTTTAACAACCTCTCCACAAATGATAAAATTTAACATAAAACAAAGATAGAACTATAACAGTACCACCAAATACCTTGGCCTAAATGATAGAAAACACTGTGACAAAATCTGGGACTAAACTTTGATTTCTTATGAAAACAGTTCACAATACAGATTTTTAGTTTCAGTAAAAGAAGATGTAAAGAAAACCCGCCAAATTTAGGATAATTAAAACATAAAGTCTGTCTTCCTAAATAAAACAGAAATAAATTAGAAATCAATAACAATAACACATTTAAGCAACCCAAAATATTTGGGTATTAAAAAACATACTTCTAAATGATGTATAGATTGAAGAAGAAATATTTTAATATGGAAAATATTTTAACTAAATAAAAGCTCAAATACAACCTTTCAAAATCTGTGGGGTATAGCTAAAACAGTGGTTATGTAGGAAACTTACAGACCCAACTGCTTGCCAGAAAGGAAAATGAGTTTAATTTTAATGAGCAAAAGTTCTACTTTAAGATGCTAAAAAAACCCCAAAAAAAACAGAAGCATTGTTGATGCAAAGCAAGTAAAAGAAAGGAATTGATAAAGAGCAGTAAGTGAGGAAGTACAAAACAAGTAAAAAGTACCAAAATGTTTTGTTTTTTTTTATTCCCCCTTGAGCTGGTGCACCATTCCCGGAAGTACTGCAATATGAGGTCGATGCATAGAGTGGACGGAGCAAGCTCCTATTCCATCTCCCTGCTCCAAAAATCCATTTAATATATTGTTCTAAGATAGAGGATGTATCAGATATTAAGCTGATAAGAAGATCCTGCACTTGATCTTAGCCAAAAGGCCGAGAAGTGATCCCAATGAGACAGGGACCATGGGTGTAGTCAGAGTAGAGTGAGGGCGAAAAGCAGGGTGGAGTATTTACAGTCAGAGCAATGTAGCAATGGGCAAAGAAGTCCCTACTGAAACTCTGTGCTAAGTATTATGCAAAGTCAAGGTCACACTAATTCTCTAGGGTAAAGATATAGACATCTTCAGTGAGATCAGTTAAAGGTCAAAAGGCCAGAAGCAACTTGGCCTGGAATGTTTGAGTGTTCTGCAAGGGTATGAGCATAACCCGTGACTTCACTGTCAGCCATGACAATCAGACAACGACCCAGCCAACCTTGAGCACAGGGCAGGTGGTACAAGTCCACACCCCTAAGCCTTCTTTTTGATATTCTCAAAAAATCCGTAACTGCCTGTAAAACCCATTAGACAACGCACCACTACCAGCTCTCTTGTCCCCTCCTGGTGTGAGCCAGGAGCTCTATTCTCTCACTTTATTTCTAAATAAAAACCTGTACCTTGCTCTCCTACCTTGAGTGTTTGTAAAGCTCACTCTTCGGCTTGGTGAACAAGAACCCCAGCATCACCAATATGTTTTTTTAGTAGATTGATACAATAAACTTTTATTAGAATGGTAAAGAAGAGAGCACAGAAATTATCAATATCAAGAATGAGATTACCATTATTACTTATACCTAAAAATACCACTTTTCCACAGTGGCTTCTATCCACAGAAATGTCTTACTATCTACCTGGTGAATATTCTACTATTGATACTAATTGTATGTCCTAAGCTTTCTGTGATCTTTATTTGTTTTCTTCCATTTCACATTGAATTAAATGCCAAATGATATGCAAAACCTGTCAATGTGTATTGTATCATGGTTTCAATTGGTGTGGGTAATATTACAATATATGAAGCTTTTATAATTTTGCCTTTTTACAACACAAACATTAAGTGAGAATTTCTGGAGAATAGTGTAGATACTTGTATATTCTAAAAAGTTCCAAATGATTTTGCTGTTCATCCCTGGCTATTGTGGGTAAAACTGCAACATTTCCAGAATCTCTCACCTGGCCCAAGTGCATCTCCATATCAACAGGTGTTTCCAATGGGTGGAGAGAAGTAGTCTCCTTATCAATAGGTAATTTCAAGGGGGAGCCAGGGCATATTTGGACCAGAGAGGTTGGGTGGGACCCCTTTTTCTGCAGCTGGGTTACAGGAGACATGGGTGAGCAGAAGTGGTCAACTGCTTGTAGGCAATAAATGAGTTTCTCCCGCTTTATTTCTCCCTTTGACTGATTTTAGTTTCAAAGGTATATTGCCCTGGTATTTTTCCCCCCAATGTTACACTATTAAATATTCAAAAAAATAAGATTAAGAGGACCATGGGAAACTATATAGACAGAAACATTAAGGAGCTGATAATTATTACTTTCTCAAGAAAAACCTGCAACTGCAACTTCCTGCTCATAAGCAGGGAGCTAAGGTATGCAGAAAAGGCTATAAAAAGTTTGCTCTTACATGGGTTAAATATGAATATTTCAGATGAACATAGTATTAAAATAATAAAAGTTATGAGGTATTAATTTCTTATTTGATGATATTTAAGAAGTCATGTATGTGGCTCCTTCATATTTATTAATCTCTTCTTTGAAAACCAAAAGGCAAAAAGACCTGCCTTATAAGTGCAGAAGATTCAGTAGGCATAGGAAATGTCTGTCTCGATTGAGAGAATGGGGGATACAGAGAGTTGAAAGACAACATATTTACTGTCACATAAATAATGATGTATGTTTTTCAAAATAACACTAGAACTCCAGAATAGTGGAAAAGAAGAAATATAAAATCTGGAGAAAGGTAAACCCAGAAAGAATTTCTACATTCTAAGATTCAGTGCATGAAGTGGAGATCTAGGAAACTAGGAAGTTAAATACAGAAGCAAGTATGACTTAAGATGCTCCTATGGAACTACGGAGCATGAAAAAATTATCAAGAGAACTCTTAAGGTCTACATGTATCCACTTAATGCATAATTGTTGAATTACAGATTATTTATCAGTAATGAAGTTCTTACTATAAAAAAATATGGAAAATGAGCTTGTGTGATTTTTTTGTCAGATTTTCCAGTGATGCAAAATCAAATCAAGATGTGAAACCAATTACTAAAGGAAGGAGACAGCTTTTGAAAATATGATCAGTTGATGAAATTATACATGAACAGTGGGACTGTTATAACAGTCCTATTACTAGTGTTTCCTCTGGCCATAACCCCCACTACCAATATCTGAAGAGAAGGTTCAGGGCTGTATACATAGGCTATTATATTTGTTTAGGAAGTCATTTTATATTTTGCCCTCAATGCAGTTATATTGTTAACACAAAATTAATGATTTCTAGAAGGCTTCTCTTCCCATATCATGTCAGGTTCAAAGGAAGTTTTCTGCCAAATACATATGTGTTCCTGAGGGGTGTGGTCTAAAGGTTTTACATGTTTGTGTCCTGCATAGCCATTGCCATATTGCACATATGGTAAGCCTCAGATATGATGTATTTCATTTTGCATTTGAGCTTGTATTATTGGTATTAGCTAACAAAAATCCTCTATTAGGTAGGAATCTGAGGCATGTTATGAAGACAGTTGAGATATATCTGCTCTAACAAGAGATGATGGAGAGGTTGCTCATATTAGAAAAGCTACACATTTTCCAACTCCAGTAAATAAGTTTTGTGCATAAAAAAATTATCAACTTAAAAATCTTATTTTATGGCTTAAAATATTGTAAGGAGAATGCTTAATTCAATGACATATTTGTTATTCTCTTGATTTTCAGGAGAAATAAAAATAAGGGGTTTCTGCCACTTGCCACAAAGTGGATGTCAATTTAATGCAATAGCAAGGCCATAAAATCTGAGAGAAAGTTATGCAAGGCAATAGCACTTTCGGATAGTTAGTTTAAAAATCAGTTTGTCTTCCAAGTTTTGGTAGATGTTGGCTACTTTTGACCATTTATCATCCATTCTTGCTTTAGCTTAATCATAATAATTTGCTTTACCTTTGGAAACTTACACCACTGCTGTTATGATGACATGACATGCCTAACCTACTCCCTGGGAAGGATGGTCTGCTTCAGAAAATAACCTTGGTTGGTTCAATGCATGTGACCTCCCTGTGGATATAGTCTTTTGAAAAGAGACAACTCCCTTGCTATTCAGAAAGGACTCCTGGGAAGGAGAAGCTATGCAAGTACTAACTGCCAGAGCTGCTATCAGACATCTCTTAAGGTGTTTCAGCCAGCCTTCTGGTAAAGCAAACACCTAGGATGTCAGAGAGAAGAACCCAGAAAAAGGAAAGAGAGAATGGCAGGGAAAGATGGAGAGCAAAGAAGGAAAGGAGGGGCAAAACGAACCTTGCCTCAACTCTGCATGAAATCTTACTTAAAGTGATTCCTATAACTGAACTTCTCAGTTACAAAAGCCAACAAAATTGCATGAGCCAGTTTGTAAAAGTTTTCTATTAGTTATATTAAAAAGATCTCTCACATACATACTATTAACTCTGTTAACAATGTCTTTTGTTTTGTCTTTTTGTCTTCGTAGTCGCTGGAAGATGTAGAAGCACTTTTCAGTTGTACGTAGTCCACAGAGAGCAAACATTCCAAAACTGCTAGTATGCACTACAGTCCACCCTCACCTGAGCCAGCATCAAATAAGACTTCAATTCTCTCATGCTCAGAATTATGGTCTGAAAGCCTGGGTATCAGGCAGGCTCATTAATTTTTATGGCTTCTTCCTTTTACCCTAGTCTCCCATAACCAGTGGCTTAGGTGATTGCTTTTGGGCAAAGAAAACTGATTTGCAATCCATGATTCCAGCAGGGAAAGATAAAGCACATTCACTGGTTAGTTAAGTTCTTGGAGAACAGGGCAAGCAGTTTTATTAAATCATGGGAGGGTCTGAGTAGGATATCTTAGCCCCCACTGAAGCTGAGCTGACAGTATAAAATACACTTCATTAGTTCAGTGAATGCATTGCGTACACAGTGATCTAGTGCCCATGCATATTTGCTACAAAGCTTTCTTAGCACCAGAGAGAGATTTTAATAGGCCGAACATAACCTCTTTCCAGTTGTTAATTCTTTCCCTTAGGTTTGTCTTTAAAAAAAGTATAAATAATTAAAACCTGAAAATAAATAACACTGGTTCCTTAAGTGTTGTCCTAAAAAAATATTGACTTTTTCCTCCCTCCCTCAAGAAAATAAAATATATAAATGTACCTGATGAACACCAACAAATATATTGGTCCATTTAGATTCCATCCTAAGTGAGGATAGGGAGTGCTATCAGAGGATGACAAGAAAATTATGATGGGAATAAATACAGAAGCCCAGTGGTTACTGCTGAAATGGACTTCAGTTTGCTATAAGCGTATGCTATGGAGTGAATGTTTCTATAAAAATGGTAGCTACTATTAGTGTTATTACCATCTGTTTAATATCTATTCTCATATTAGCTACTTCTCATTCATTGTAATCTGTCTTACTTTTTATGGTATGCATTCTATAATTAAATAGAATCAGAGAAACAAAGTATTTGAGACTTTGCTTAGGTCTTGCTTAAATTCTTAACTCTTCAGAATGGAAATATCACTTGTTTCCTGATCTCATTTTGAATGAGACCAGTGATTAAAAAGAAGAGATTCTTATGCGTAAGATTATCTTCTGTGATTCCCTTTATTTGGCCTTTATGAACAGCATCACTTGCTGATGTCTCCATGTTACAAGTCTAGGGGGAAGGAACAAAAATCTGGACTGAAAACAAACACAATTTAGCAGAAAGTGGAAAATACACACAATACAGAGTTAAACAAGACTATTAACCTTTAATATTTCCTTCAAACATAGTTGCTTCCTGATAGTACTATTTATTATGCAATTCAAATAAAGGTTTTAAGTAATATGGGTACAAACTCTCCACAGAAATTATGAAAAACAGTAATGCTCTTAGAAATAAAACTCTGCCATATCT